CGCCGGACACGGGAGGACAGTGGAGGAACTGGCTACGACCGGGCCCCCAGAGGGGTCAGCCAGTCTGACCGGGACAGGTGCAGGGAGAGGAGTGAGAGTGGTGCTGTCACGAAAGAAAACAGCGCGAGGCGCCAGAGTCCAACGTGAAGGTGTGCAAGGCCTCAGCAGGCGCAGTACAAGGGGGAGTACCATATGCTCTAGCACCTAGAGCAGCAGCCGCTATACCTGGGTCAGGTGGCACACACCGGTAACAATCACCCTCAGCACTAAAAGACAAAGCATACATGGCAGAGATAATAGCATCATAGTCTAGGTCAAAGATAGCAACTCCTGACCTAAGCAAATCAGTCCAGCGAGGGCGCTCGACGTCGTCACCAAACTCAGCACGCCAGGCGTCGTCAAGGCGGGAGAAGTAGCGGTGCTCAGTGTGAAACTTCCCGCATGTCTGGCCCGCACGGACACCCGTGCGAATGTCATAAGGGCAGGTCTCACTACCCCCACCTGTCCCACGCTGAACCAACCACTCACGGAGCTGCTGGGGCGACTGGGTCTCGCTCCGACGCTGCTGATGCTGTCGCTGACCACCACCAGGGCATCTACGCCGAGGTCCAGACCTGCCACCACCAGTCCCACCGCCTCCACTGCCGCCACTCCCTCCGCTGCCTCCACCGCCGCCACCAGAGCCCCCACTGCCGCCACCAGTCCCACTGCCGCCACCACCTCCACTGCCTCCACCACCTCCACCGCTGCCCCCACCACCGCTCCCACTGCCACATCCGCCACCACCGCTGCCACCTCCACCACCCCGGCCACCCTTGCCCTTGCCACTGCGGCGCTTCGCACTAGTCGAAGCAGCACCGACGTCCTCAGGAACAGAGACGTCTGCAGCAGCAGCAGAGGCGAAGGAGGGGGAAAGGGGAGAGGGGGAGCACCCCTCAAAGAAGGAAGGGCACGGAGTGCCACGAGCAGCACCTACAGCAACTGCACTAGTCTCAGCTGCGAGGAGATGCTGCTCGAGGAGGTCAACAGTGAGGGAGGTGGGGTCAAGGGAGAGAAAGTGGTCCCTGACAGAGCGAAGAGAGTCAGGGAGGCGAGAGACTAAGAAGTAGAGGGTGATGAACATGGGGGGCTGGTTCGTGGCAGGGAACTCAGCAGGGATGGTAGCGCGGTAGCGAGCGTCGCTAGTGTGCAGGTGGGTAACCAGGTCCGCTACGGTGGCAAACGCCGACAGCTCAGGGAACAGGTAGGGCAGTAGCAGTCTGCCTAGAGCAGCAGTGGCAGGGGAGGAGTAGCGAGCAACGACAGCGTCTTACAGGGCCTGTGCTGTCCTGTGCTGTCCAAAGTGGGTACATTCGGCCACCGGTAGGTGGTTGCGAATGGCTAAGCGGGCAGTAGCATCTCGAGAAAGCCACTGGGAACGAGTCGAACTGTCAGCTGTGGCGGGAGGGGCTGGAGCGACACCGGACACGTGGTCAAACAGCGAGACACTGTCCTTAATACCGCTCAGTAAGTACAGTTGCAGATCATCGTGCCACGTGTCAAATGCAACTAGTCTGCCCTCGTGATCGAACGCTAGGACTCGAAGCAAAGCCATAGTGGCGCAGTACTCAGAAGCAGCAGTAGCAGGAGCAGCACTAATCAAGGGGCCAAGGGGCGGGGCCGAGAGGCCTAGGGGCCGAGGGGCCAAACACGAGGGTGGTGGACCGAGGGGCGAAACACGAGGGCCTAGGGGCCTAGGGGCCGAGGGGCCAAAGGTCCTAGGGGCCGAGGGGCCGAAGGGACTAGGGGCCGAGGGGCCAAGGGGCGGGGCCGAGGGGCCAAACACGAGGCCAAGGGGCCGAGGGGCCGAGCCTAGGGGCCGAGGCTAGGGGCCGAGGCTAGGGGCCGAGGGGCCAAACACGAGGCCAAGGGGCCGAGGGGCCGAGCCTAGGGGCCGAGGCTAGGGGCCGAGGCTAGGGGCCGAGGGGCCAAACACGAGGCCAAGGGGCCGAGGGGCCGAGCCTAGGGGCCGAGGGGCCAAACACGAGGCCAAGGGGCCGAGGGGCCGAGGCTAGGGGCCGAGGGACCAAACACGAGGCCAAGGGGCCGAGGGGCCGAGCCTAGGGGCCTAGGCTAGGGGCCGAGGGGCGGGGCCGAGGGGCCAAAGTGGCCTAGGGGCCGAGGTGCGCGGCTAGGGGCGACGGGGCCAATCGGGGACGAGGGGCACGGCTAGGGGCGACGGGGCCAGTGGGGCCGAAGGGGCGCGGCTAGTGGCGACGGGGCCAATCGGGGCCTTGGGGCGCGGCTAGGGGCGGCGGGGCCAACGGGGCCGAAGGGGCGCGGCTAGGGGCGACGGGGCCAGCGGGGCCGAAGGGTCGCGGCTAGGGGCGAAGGGGCCAGCGGGGCCGTGAGGTGGCGACGGGGCCGAAGGGGCGCGGCTAGGGGCGACGGGGCCAACGGGGCCTTGGGGCGCGGCTAGGGGCGACGGGGCCAACGGGGCAGTGGGGCGCGGTTAGGGGCGACGGGGCCAACGGGGCCAAAGGGGCGCAGCTAGGGGCGACGGGGCCAGCGGGGCCTTGGGGCGCGACTAGGGGCGACGGGGTCAACGGGGCCTTGGGGCGCGGCTAGGGGCGACGGGGCCAACGGGGCCGAAGGGGCGCGGCTAGGGGCGACGGGGCCAGCGGGGCCGAAGGGGCGCGGCTAGGGGCGACGGGGCCAGCGGGGCCGAAGGGGCGCAGCTAGGGGCGACGGGGTCAACGGGGCCTTGGGGCGCGGCTAGGGGCGACGGGGCCAACGGGGCCGAAGGGGCGCGGCTAGGGGCGACGGGGCCAGCGGGGCCGAAGGGGCGCGGCTAGGGGCGACGGGGCCAGCGGGGCCGTGAGGTGGCGACGGGGCCGAAGGGGCGCGGCTAGGGGCGACGGGGCCAGCGGGGCCGAAGGGGCGCAGCTAGGGGCGACGGGGTCAACGGGGCCTTGGGGCGCGGCTAGGGGCGACGGGGCCAACGGGGCCGAAGGGGCGCGGCTAGGGGCGACGGGGCCAGCGGGGCCGAAGGGGCGCGGCTAGGGGCGACGGGGCCAGCGGGGCCGTGAGGTGGCGACGGGGCCGAAGGGGCGCGGCTAGGGGCGACGGGGCCAACGGGGCCTTGGGGCGCGGCTAGGGGCGACGGGGCCAGCGGGGCCTTGGGGCGCGACTAGGGGCAGCGAAAGGGCCGGGGCCTAGGGGCCATGGGCGACGGGGCCGAGGGGCCATGAGCGACGGGGCCTAGGGGCCGTGGGGTGGCGCGACGGGTCTAAGGGGCACGACGGGCCTAGGCGGGGGTACTAGCAGCGTAGCAGGTGGTGGGCCCAAGAAACCTGCTCTGATACCATGTCAAAGTTACAAGCAAGAATGAATGAACTATGGATGAGTTGGGTACAAGTACTAACCCTAATTGGGTTGTACCCCTTATGGGCTACCCCACTACAGCCTACACAAATGTATAAGCTATAATGTTCTGACACGCACTGCAGCCTTTTCCTTCCGCTTCCCGTCTGAGCGCGAGACAGCCTCAGCTTGCTGGTGATCGGCTTGAGCAGCTGTTGCATCGTCCTAATCAGGGCCGTTGTATTCAGCGCCACCGTGCCAGGCTGCTACGGGATCGTCGCGATCGGAGCCAGCAGCATCGTCCGAATCCTTCTCAATGTATTTGTTGTTAGTGTCATATTCACGGGGCAAGACGGTCGCTTGCTTCGGGGTTGAGCTCGCGGCTCCCACACTACGTAACGGGCGTGCGGTTGGTTTTCCGGCCGCGATTTCGGTGTTCATCCATTTGACATAGGCAAGGTCCTCCACACTCCACCCTTCGTCCTCTGCTGCGCCAACTGATCTTTTGCGTTTGCGTGCCATGGCTAGCTGCTGAAGCGCGATGTTGGTGTTAGGAAGCTTGCTCACAGTTCTGTATGCATTGACAGATCTACGGTATGCACTTTGATGTTGGTGTTGGTTCCTTGTTTGCTGTGGTTTGTGAAAAGTGTCCAACGTGCAGGTGCTCTAGATGGCTGTGTGGCGGGAAATGAGATAAATGTTAGGAATCGTGAACATTGAGCACGTAAGCTTCCCGGTGCACATTCGCCACGTCACGGTCGTGCGCAGGTTAAGGTGACGGGCGAGGATCATGCGCTGACGCTTACGCGTCTTCTGTGGACGTGCACTGTGGGTTCCGCAATGTTGAGCGACATGGTGCGATCGATTTCATTCGATTGCGTTCACGGTACAAGCCTGACAAGAGGCGTTCTATAACGTGCATACCGTACAACAAATAGCGAAGCTGATAAGAGGATGCCCTGACAAGGGGCCGTAGGAACATGCCCTGAGTTGTGGTGGTGGGCCCTTGACCTCAATAGCAGAGTGGATGTAAAATGCTTGAGATGATTGAAACATGCAAGTACAAAGGTATAAATAAGAGTACATGAAGGAATACGAATCGACCTAGCTAGCCATGTACTCTAAGGGGTACATTCCCTTATTACAACGAAATCCAACCGTGCGACTCCAGACAGTTACGAAACTGTCCAGGCAGAATCCTCGCCACTGCTGCTGCCCGATGCTGTCTGCCCGACGGTCCAGATCCTTTTCGTAACCGTACGACGCTTCGCGTCACTTCTGCCTTTTTGCCTTCATCCTTGGCAGTGCGTGCTTCGATTGCTGCGGTAAAGAGTGCACAGTGATGTTTCAATAATTACTATTCGTAACACATACGATAGGACTATTGGTAGAACGTGGCAGATAGTCCATTCCAACACCAAGGTGGCTTCCAGCGTCGGCAGTCCACTGAAACCTTCTTGACCAGCACCATTTACACAACCCTCGCCCAGAAGCACCCAGTATATGTACCATATACGCCTGAGCATCAGGCTCTGCCAACAAGCCAGGAAGCCAGGCAGTTGGCGTGCCCACACGCTCCCACCACGCCGCTCGATCCTTGTCTCCGCCCACCTCAGAGAAGCGTCGCTGCACCTGCTGTTTACCAGCAGGGCAGCTGGTCAGGGGTACGGCACGTGCAGTGGCGTGCCGCCCACCCAAGTGCGTGCCTGGATGAATGGGTCCGGCAGGAACGGCCCTGCGTGCCGTGCGGCCAGCTTGCCCGGGTGCACCCAGTCCGCGTACGCCCTGCGCGCGCCCGGCCCATAGCTGCCTGTCTCCGCCAGAAACGGCTTGGCGCGGAAGTTCACGCCATTCCACTGCGCCCACCCCACCGGGTCTATCACCTGGGGGTAGGAGGGGGGGGGGGGGAAGATGACGGAGCCGTGACAGGGTTGACGATGGAAGGGAGATGGAGGAAGCAGCAACAATGAGGGAGTGAGGGCAGCATGGAACGCAAATGCGCGCACCCACTATGCAGCACACTGGCGTCCTGATACCTGGCAGCGCAGCGGCGCGTGGCTCACATTGCTCATGTACGTGTTGATGAACACCACGCGCGCGTACGCCTTCCACGGCCGCCCCAGCACGGCCCTAGCGCCAGGGTCGCGCGCGTTGATGGCGCAGTCCACGAACACGAACCCGCCGCCGCCATTGCGCGTCGTGCGCCCGTTGGCCGTGATGATGCTGCGCCCCAGGAAGCCCGCCACGCCCGTCCACTTGCGCACGTCGATGCGGCACTTGTCGAACACGGCGGACGCGTCGCGCCCGAAGATGAAGTCGAGCGCGCCGTCCACGCGGCACTCGCGGTAGTACTGCCGCCCGCTGTGCGCGTTCAGCGTGTCCTGCGCGCGCGCGGTGGCCCGCGGGAAGGTAGGGAGGGGCGGGAGGGTGGAAACGGGGGAATTGGGCTGGTAGCACACAAATGCCGTGCAGTTGGGCGTTACAAGCGGCGAGGCCGCGTGCGGGCAGCAGGTGAATGGACAGCGTGGGTGAGTACGGCGGGGGGCGCAGAACAGGGCACCTGGAAGGCAGAGAAGTGGCAACGGTAGAGCAGGGTCATGTCGCCCGCCGCGCGGAACGCGACGCCCGCCTCCTTGTACGGCCCCGCCGTGTTCTCGAACCGGATGTTCGCCGCCGCGAAGCTGGCGCCCGACGACGCTGGGGGGGGAACAGCAGACGAGAGTGAGATTTGGAGTGAGATCGGTGCGGCTGGGCCGCGAGGGACGGGAAAGATGGGACTACAAGGAGAGCTGAAGAACGAGGAGAGAAAGCACAAGGGTGAGTGGCCACGAAAGACGTGCGTGCGAGATAGGCGTAGTGTGACGCGATGCCGTGGGGCCAGCACGCGGGGCTCGAGAGCAGCGGGAGGCGGGGGAAGTGCGGGGCAGCGGGAGACGTGCATACAGAACGTGGCCGTGTCCCATGTCGTTAACCCGTCCGCGTTACTACGCGAGCCAGTAATGACAGTGCGAGTGGGTCCGTCGCCTACGAGCGCGACCATGGGGCGCGCGATGTCGACTTTGTCGCCGTACACGCCCGCGCGGATGTGCACCACGAACCACCCCTGCGACGGCGGCACGTTGTTGATTATCTCCGCCGCTCTCTGCACACTCGCCGCGATTGGGGGAAAGAGCAAGTGGGGCGATGAAAGGGAGCGGGCGAACGGGATCCGGGGATATTGGGGGGAAGCAGGTGGAGCGGGTAACGGATGGGGGAAGGAGGAGGGCGGATGAGGTGGGTGTGGGGATGTGGTGGGGAGGAGGTGGGGACGGAAGAAGAGAGGCGAATGTAGTGGGTGAGGCTGCGACGGAAGGAAGTGGGGCGAGAGCGATGAGGTGCGAAGTGACTGCATACTATACCATCTGTTAGTAACGGACGGCATCACTCCGAACAGACGCACGGCAGGGAGGTCGGGCCAAGGTAGCATGTAATGAGAGCTCAGGGGAGCGCGCGGCTTACTCGCAGCGTGGTGACGTCGCCCGTGCCGTCCTGCGCCAGCACCAGGTTCGGCTTCACCGCCTGCCGCTTCAGCCACCGCCGCACGCCGCCAGCCTTCCGCCTGCCCGCGAGATCCAATAGACCCGCACCTTCACCCTTCTCCGGTGCGCGCGGCCAGCTACTATTCGTGAGTTCCCTTAGCCACCCCAACAGCGCGGAGTCCATCCATTGCGGGCCCTGCATATGCGCGTGGTGCTCCGTCTCTTCCGCCAGGCGAGCGAGTGGCGCGGCAGGTGGGGAATGCGGCAGGCAGTGCGCGCTGTGGAGGGCGAGGAGCACGAGGGGGATGAGGGCGAGCTGGCGGAGGCGCAGATGAGAGCGGGGGGTGGCTGCGCCGGTCCAGGAGAGCGCGCGGCCGCCATGGGTGCGTCCGCATTCTGCCATGCGGAAGGGTGTGCCTCTGTAACACCAGACACCGCCAGCGACGCACCCCCAGCTGCGGGTCCGACTCACTGCCAGCCACGCGCACTTACGGAGAAAAAGCTATCAGGAACGCGTTGTGGCTAATGCGGGTCTGGGTAAGCGATAATGGTGAGGAGCGTTGCGGATAATAATCTATCACTAAGTCGACCATGAAGCGTCGAGTACCTTTAGCGTAGAAGGAATGCGTGATTTTCTGCGACCACAATTCAACATATTGCAAAGTCACGAAAGCTAGAAAGAGTCATCAGATTATCAGACGTCAAGCTTGATACGAAGAAATATTTACCAGCAAATAAATAGTGGGCTCTCATTCATGCTCCAAAACCATGATCCTGGTGCGTTGCCCTAGTATCCTTCTGGCTTCAGTTCCGTCATCCCATCTCATGGCTGCTCTGTACTCCGAGCTGCTCGTCATCTGCGGGTGGGAAGCAGCCACATTTCAACAACGAATCGCTCTCTGCAATCGCGATCAACCAAGGGGCGACCCAATGGCGCCTTGGTCCAGCAATTTCGGTTGGCTTCGCATTTGCACGCACGCGACGCGTGAATGTGACTATATGGGATCATGACTATCGAAAGGTTTCCCTGAAGTACCCCATCCCCCAGCCGACGCATTGTGGCAGTCAAATTCGTGGTTTCACCTTGCAACTTTGCGACTAATCGTCCATGAGGGCACGTGTCGCATCTGTTGTGGTCAGGCACAAACTTTAGGTCATCGTGCATACCGCGGACAGCAAGGTACATCCGCCACTCCACACATCATTCTCGTTAACTTTGAAACGAGTGTTTAAATTATATATCAAATGCGTCATTCTGCCCACACCACATGCGTCTCCTGACAGTTACGACTGTGGATGTATCCGCTTTATAGTGAAATGCATCCTCCAAAAAAAAAACAACAACAACAACAACAACAACAACAACAACAAAAACATGCGTCTCCTGGTTACCTGCGGTCAGGTCTTACTCCTCGACCCATTTGTCAAACTGTTATAATGTTTATATTGTGTAGGTTGTAGTGGGGTAGCCCATAAGGGGTACAACCCAATTAGGGTTAGCACTTGTACTCAGTTTCTTTTCAATGCATTCATTCTCGTTCAGTATTCTGACATCGTTTCAGAGCGGTTCCTGTTCCAGAACCGTTTTTTTTAGGGCCCACCGAATAGTTCCCTGCCCGTAGCGCGTTACCCTGCTCGTAGCGCCCTACCCTGCCGGTCGCGCTGCCACACCAGTCGCGCTGCCCTGCCCTGCCCTGCCCGTCGCGCCGCCCTGCTGGCCGCGCGCCGCCCTGCTAACTGCCGCGCCGCCCTGCCCAACCTGTCGCGCCGCCCTGCTAGCCGCACGCCACCCTGCTGGCTGCTGCGCCGCCCTGCCCTGCCTGTCGCGCCGCCCTGCTGGCCACGCGCTGCCCTGCCCTGCCCGTGCGCCGCCCTGCTGGCCGCCGCGCCGCCCTGCCCTGCCCGCGCGCCGCCCTGCTAACTGCCGCGCTGCCCTGCCCTGCCCGCGCGCCGCCCTGCCCTGCCCGCGCGCTGCCCTGCCCCGCCGTGCGCCGCCCTGCTGGCCGCCGCGCCGCCCTTTGCAGTCCGCGCGCCGCCCTGCTGGCCCCGCGCCGCCCCTTTCCTGCCCGCGCGCCACCCTACTCGCCGCGCGCTGCCCTGCCCTGCCCACGCACCGCCCTGCAGCTTGCCCGCGCACCGCCATTTCCTGCCCGCGCGCCACCCTGCCCTGCCCGCGCGCTGCCCTGCCCTGCCCTGCCCTACACGCCGCCCTGTCTTGGCCGTGCGCCGCCCTGCCCTGCCCTGCCCTGAGCGTTTTCCTAGTGCACGCGCGCCGCCCTGCTCGTCACGCGCCACCCTGCTCTGCCCGCTATGGCTACTCTCATCGTTCTCACATTCGATCCTGAGGGCCGTCCGATCCAGTTCGATACGTGGCTCGATGACTTACAACTGTACCTACTGAGCGATTATAGAGACTGCGTCTCGTTGTTTCACCACACGTCTGGAGCCTCTCTCGCCCCTCCCAACACATCTGACAACGACTCGCTCTCAGTGGCTTACCCGTGACGATGCTGCTCGTTTAGCCGTTCGCAACCACCTGCCGTAAGCTGAACACGCTCACTTTGGCCAGCACAAGACTGCTAAAGCCATGTACGACGCTGTAGTCACTCGTTACTCTTCCCCTGACACTGCTGCTCTCGGCCGCCTTATACTGCCCTACCTTTTTCCCGAGCTGTCAGCCTTTGCCACAGACAAGGACCTCATCACCCACCTTTGCACTAGCGACACTCGCTACCTCGCTGCCCTCAAAGCCGAGTTCCTAGACAAGAACCCGCCCCCGATGTACATCACTCTCTACTTCATCGTCACCCGCCTCCCTGACTCTCTTCGCGCAGTCTGGGACTAGTTTCTCGCACTTGACCCTACATACCTCACCGTCGACCTGCTCGAGAAGCACCTCCTTGACGCGGAGACTAGCATAGTCGCTGTAGGTGCTGCTCGTGGCACTCATCGCACACCCTTCTTTGAGGGGTGTTCCCCCTCCCCCCTTGCCCCCTCCTACGCTTCTGCTACTGCTGTTGACATCCTTGGTATTGAGGAGGTCGGGGCTGCTTCTGCTCCTAGTGGGAAGCACCGCAGCGGCAAGGGCAAGGGAGGCAAGAGTGGTGGAGGTGGTAACGGGAGTGGTGGTGGTGGAGGCGGTGGAGGCGGTGGAGGTGGCGGAGGTGGCGGTGGGAGTGGTGGCGGGAGTGGGGGCGTCGGTGGCGACGGTGGTGGCAGCGGTGGGAGTGGTGGTGGTGGTGGTGGCGGCAGTGGGAGTGGTGGTGGCGGCAGTGGTGGCGGTCGGGGTGGAGCTGTTCAGTGGGGAGGTTCTGGCGTGGCCAGAGGCAGCAGCAGCAACGCCCGAGGGAGACCCCTACGCCCCAACAGCTTCGTGAGTGGTTTGCTCAGCGTGGGGCGGCTGGGGGTAGTGTTCGCTGCCCGTATGTCATTCGCACATGTGACTGCGCTAGTCAAACATGCGGGAAGTTTCACACACAGCACCGCTGCTTCTCCCGCCTTGACGACGCTTGGCGCGTAGAGTTTGGCGACGAGGCTGAGCACCCCCGCTGGCTAGAGCTGCTTAGGTCTGGTGTTGATATCTTTGCTCTTGACTATGATGCTATCCTTGCTACCATGTATGCCTTGAATGTTAGTGCTGAGGGTGACCGTTACCTGTGTGTGCCGCCCGACTCAGGTATAGAGGCTGCTGCTCCATGTGCTAGTGAGTCTGCTCTCCCTGGTACTGCGCCTGCTGAGGCCTTGCACACCTTCACGCTTGACTCAGGTGCTTCCCGATGTTTCTTTCACGACAGTATCACACTCACTCCACTCCCTGCACCTGTACCAGTCAGACTGGCTGACCCTCAGGGGGCCCAGTTCTTGCACGTTCCTCCACTGTTCTCCCGTGTCCGGTGGTTCCGTCCGGCTCACTGTCAGGTCTTCACCTCCCCTCGTTCGTTACGAACTTGGTGAGTACCGCTGCCCTCCAGGATGCGATGGTCACTACCACCACTACTGGGGGTCAGCGTGTGGCGATCTGCACGTATACACGGACGGGCCGTCACCTAACCACGTTCACACGTCGGCCTGGGTCAAGTCTGTACATACTGACTGCTGAGCCTGCTCAGGTAGCTTCTTCTGGTCAGGTGTCCACGTCACGTCAGGTAGCCGCCCCCTGTTCGTGTCGCCTCCTTTCGCACCAGACTCTCCTTTGGCACCACCGCCCTGGTCACCCCTCCCTGCCACGCCTTTGTGGCATGCACTCCCATCTCCTTGTTTCTGGTATTCCCAGGTCTCCGCCTCCCCTCCCACCCTCGCCTGCCCCGCCTTGCCTTCCTTGCGTCAAAGGGCGGCAGCGCGCCGCTCCTCACTCCTTGTTTCCCCCGACGACTTCTCCCTTGCAGACTCTCCACATGGACGTGTGGGGCCCAGCCCGCGTCAGTGGACAGGGCCACGAGCGCTACTTTTTGTTGGTTGTTGACGACTACTCGCGTTACACCACGGTCTTCCCCTTGTGCAGCAAGGGGGAGGTCCCTAATATCTTAATCCCTTGGATCCGCACTTTCCGTCTCCAGCTCCGCGAGCGGTTCCGCCAGGACCTTCCTGTCCTGCGTCTGCACTCTAATAGAGGTGGTGAGTTCTTCTCCGACCTCTTACAGGACTTTTGTCGTGGGGAGGGCATCCTCCAGTCGTTCACGCTTCCGGCCTCTCTGCAGCAGAATGGGGTTGCTGAGCGCCGCATTGGCATAGTCATGGAGATCGCTCGTACCTCCATGATCCATGCGGTTGCTCCCCATTTTCTGTGGCCATTTGCGGTCCAGTACGTTGCGCATCAGCTCAACATCTGGCCGCGTGTCTCCTTGCCAGAGACCTCGCCTACACTGCGTTGGACGGGGGAGGTTGGCGATGCGTCGGTGTTCCGGGTCTGGGGCTCTCGTGCCTTTGTCCGCGATACTTCCGCGGACAAGCTCTCCTCCCGCGCCATTCCCTGTATCTTCCTTGGCTTCCCCCCTGACGCGCCTGGCTGGGAGTTTTACCACCCCACCTCGCGCCGTGTCCTGCTCTCTCAGGACGTCACCTTTGACAAGCCGGTTCCCTTTTACCATCTCTTCCCCTACCGCGCTGTCCCTCTCCCCCCCCCCCCCCCGCCACTCTTCCTCGCTCCAGGTCCCCCTCCGATAGACCCCCTCCCCCCTCATGGTCCTGCTCCCTCAGGTGTGTCTCAGGTAGACCCACTCCCCTTGGCTGAGCCTGTCGAGGTCACTGTGGACTCTAGTGCTGCTGGGGGTGCTGCTGCTAGGGGTGCTGCGTCTGGGGGTGCTGAGCCTGTGGGTGCGGAGCCTGGGGGTGCTGAGCCTGAGAGTGCGGAGCCTGGGGGTGCTGAGCCTGAGGGTGCAGAGTCTGGGGGTGCTGAGCCTGAGA